CGCATTCTTACTCAAACCTTCTTCAGTCTTCCCCTCTCTTCCAATGCTAATATTCTCCACCTGTTTATTCATCCCAGATGCACCAATAAACTGATATCCTAACATGTAGAAGCCTAAAAAAAAGTCTCTTAAATTTCATTCCCTACTCTCCAACTTACACAATTCTCTCAAATTTTGTCACTGCTACTTTCTTAGTTTTCTATAAGTCAGTCTTCTGCTTTTTATCTGCATTGTAACCACCGCCTTAGGTCAGACAGTTGGTACATTTTACCTAAACTGTAGCATAGTTTATAAACAGTCTACTTTCTTCTATTCCTGTCCTTCTCACCAATTAACCGTACTGTGCTACCATGGTGATCTTTCCAAAGCATAAATTGAGCTTTGTCACTTACCTGCTTAAAACCCTTAAGATATTTGTCATTGTCTTCAAGATAAAACCCCAACTTGTTGGCACGAAGTAAAAGCCTCTCCAGATATGGTGCTTAATAAATGGATTCATGGTGAGAGACGCTCGTCTTCCCATCATTCTCTCTCCCTTTCTGCCCCCTTCCCACTAAATGCACACCCCAGCTCAGACATGTTCCTTTCCCATTTGCTGGGATCCACGTGCTTTCTCTGAGCCACTGTTCCTACCTGTACTCTGGCTGCTGCCCTGCCACAACCTGACTCACTCACTCACTCTGTCATTCTTCAGCATAGAGGTGAACTCCTCCAGAAAGGCATCCCTGGTTTCCAAAACCAGAACAAGGTGTCTTTATGTACAGCTTAACAAGGCAATAGCCAGTGCTGATGGCTGTGGCACAGTCTTGTCCCCCCGAGGTGCTACATAGTTTAACGATGGCACCTGAATAGGCGCTATTATCCTGTCTTTGCCTACACAGACGAAGCACCAATAAACTGATATCCTAACATGTAGAAGCCTAAAAAATGTTTCTTAAATTTCATTTTTGGTTAGTTGGTACAGAGCTATGTGGACGTAATCATAGACAGTTTGAGAACTTTTGTGATAAATTTATGTGTATATATATATATATATATATATATGTATGTATGATGTACACAGCCTTGTGAGTTTTGAGTGAAAATCCTTTCCATATTCCATGATTGCAATTATGTTTCTTTTGCTAATTATTTTATTTATTTATTTATTTTAGAAGTTTTTGCCTTAGAGCAACTGTACTCGCCTGAGAGAGACAGACAGAGACAGAAGAAAAGAGAGAAATCACCCCTCTTGGGGGGATGGTCATGCCACAATTCCTTCTTCTTCATTCTCCTCCCGGGATCTTGAGTATGCAGACATACTAGCCCAGCATGAGTATCAAGCCACCGAGTCCGGGACCTGAACCGTGGTGGACCATGTGGGAGTCCAGCAATTTAACCGCTGGATGATGTCATTGCCCCCACAATTATGTTTATTCACAAAATAATTAGCAATAAGTTTTTGTTAATGAAGTCCCTCTTCCTCCATGAAAAGGAATCTTTTCATGTTAAAATATTGAAATGTGTCAAAGTACTAGCAATCAGATTTCAAAAAATACTTTTTTATTAAAAAAGAGAATAAATGAGAGGATATCCTTAAATGTGTTTTCAGAAAAGAAATAATTTAAAACTAGGGAATCATTCATTTTAATTCTCTTTCCTAAAACACTCTCTATTAGTATAATCATTCAGAAAATTTTTTTGGTGAGTTTCCCTTTGTTAGTGTAAAGCCAATCTCCTCTGCTGTCCTAATCTCCAGTCAAAGCTGCTTAGGGGACTTCAGGACACTGGTGAGGAAGGCACAAAATTGCAATGCACAGAACCAAGTCTAAAAACTGTTTCCTCAAACGGAATCTCATGTTATAGTAGAATAAAAGCTTTCACACACAGAGAGAGAAAAAGACCCTGTGAGCTAGGAGATTAAAAGTGCACAGTTAAAAAAAGAAACCAAGGTAAAAAAAGAGTGAAAGAGAAAAATATATTTTAACAGCAGGGAATGACATGACATGACAAGGAAAAAAAGTAAAAATGTAGAAAGACAGGTGGGAGAACTAGAAGTGAAAATTAATGACAAAAACACAAAGTCTGCCCACAGAAAATTGAAAATAAAATGTAGCAAAAAGATCTTCCAATTATAATTTCTTTCAATGCCCAAATATTGCTGTATTTTAAAGTTGCCAGGACAGCATTTCTTGTATAGCATTATTCTTTTGCTTTTTTTAAAAAAATTTATAGAGTATTCAAATTATTCACTTTGACAATAATGTCCATGCACACAGAAGGTCAAGGTATCATCAATGCACTTGTTCCCAGCTGTTTGCCTTAACGCGCTCGGGGACTTTGTGCCATTTGCAGGCTTAACAGCTGTGCTTTGACACTAGTCACTAAACAGATTTTGATTAATTAATTAATTTCAAATTTTTATTTCTTTTTAATGTATCTACCCTTTCTTAAATTGTTATTTGGGCACTTGGGAGCTAAATAATTAAGACTGTCATAAAATGAAAAAGAAAGATACTCATCTTTATTTTAAATAAAATATTGCTTTACTCACTAATTGCAAGCATCTCAGGACTCAATGGCTATTTTTTAATGTGCCTTGCTTATGAGTCTGTTATAAGATGTAATTGTTTCATACTTTTTGAGCCAACCAAAGATAAAGGCAGACTATAATGCATTAATGTGGAACATTACAAAATAAACTTCATGGAGTCATCATAATAGTAGACGATAAGGTCTAAAATATAAACCAGATATTCCCCCTCCCTTTGTATGTACATGTGTGTTTTCCTGAAACTAACAATGTAGTGATACAACTTGATCATTTGACAATGTCATCACAAAGGTTCATGCTACATAACGATTTCATAAAAATGAATCCATAACTGTGGACCTAAAGCAAATGTGGGAAAACATTTTCCTGTTTAATAATATGGATGGCCCTAAAAACATGTTTTTAAGCCTATTAATTTCTTCCGTAAGACAGGAAGAGAGAGAGAAGAGAAGAGAGGAGAGGAGAGGGAAGGGGAGGGGAGAGGAAGAGAGAAGAGAGAAGAGAGGAGAGGCCAAGAGGAGACAGCCCTCTTAGCAGGGTCTGGGTGTTGCCATACATGTTGCCTCCATGAGCCTGAGGTGTGGGCATGCCTCTGTGCTCGGGGAGATCTCCAGTCTTGAAGTGGGAACTTTCACATATGTGATTGTTTCACAGAGCAATGCATATGAGGATCTTGCTGTGCCAATGTCTGACCCCACCTCAACACATACATGTGGAGATTTTGCTATTTGGAGGTATTATGCGGGAAAAATAAACTACCAGGAGAGGGGAAGCGATGCAAGAGAAATGCACAGGTCACCAACAGGCCAGGCTCCAACAAGAGCTAAATGCAAAATACTCACAGGCATGTGGAAGGTTCCGGCGAAGAAGGCATCATGACCAACTGGAAGAATCCAGTTGAGTATGACCATTTTATCTCGACTGTTATTCTTCCTATTCGTATACTCGCTCTATGGTAGCCACTATTTCTTTTTGCTGATTTTTTCCTACATTTTAACTTCTTAAAATGAATCCTTTACTCTATGACCTCTATCGAGAATTAACCACATCAAATTAATCACTATTCACTCAGTAAGTCAAATGCATTTTTATCATTACTTTGCTTCTGTTTATACTATTCATGCTCAAATTTTTTTCCTTCCTTTAAGCAGGTCGCAAATGAGTTCAGAAGGCTTAGTTCATTTTGAACGTCTGCCATGTCCCCATACATAAGTATGCGACCTCACAGGTATTTCTAAATCTCTACACGTCTTCAATGACTGACTCTCGTATTGTCTTATTTTCTTTGTAAGCTTGTTCCTCCAAACGAACTGTGAGACTCTTAAGCGCAGGGGCAGTGACACTCAGTGTCTTCTGTACTCTAAGGTCCAACCTGTCAGGTGCTAAGTATTCTGTGTCTGTATGTACCCTGGCGAAATCAATTCTGGAAGAAAGAACAGTACGTGCAGAGAGAACTAGAGCTCCTCTGACTGATACTGCAAAACAAACTCTGGACCCTGGGATTCGCGTCTCCCTCTGACTGCGTGAACCTGTCACAGGAACATTCTCAGAAGGCTAAGGCCAGGCCACCTGGAAGTCCTCAAGCGGCCAGCAGCGGCGACAGTAGCAGTAGTAGCCGCTACTATATAAAACCCAATGCCTTTCAATGTGCTTTCCCAGTCGGCATCTAAACGTTCCTCTTCAGCGGCCTAAGGTGATCATTCATTCTTTCCGAGATGAGATGTCGGGGAAACACCTCCCTTCCTGCAGAATGAGAGAAAAACGGGCTTTCCAGGGACTGGGAGCGGGGATTCCCTCTCCAGGTACGCGCATTTGGCCCGCCCACCCGGGTGAGGGCGGTCACCACGCAGGAGCCGGGGGTTCCCGGCCACAGCCAGGCGCCCCGCGCCCCTCCCGGGTAGAAGGGGCTGCAACCCTGGAATCCGCTAATTAGCTCGCCTCCATTGGTTGTCCCCAAGGCACCCCCATGCCGTCACGGCGCTATGCTAATGAAGGGGCGTCTCATTGTCTGGGCCTCGAGCGGCATCTCCGAGGGCGAGTGCGGGGAGAGCCGGAGGGCAGGGGTCTGGGCGGAAGCCCCGCGCCCGGCGGTGTTTGCGCCGTCCGCGCGCCTGCGGGGACTGCAGCCCCGGGGCTGCCCTCGGGGAGCACTTCCACCCCTCCTTTTCGGGAAAGTGCTCCGGCACCTCGCCGCGCTCACGCCCACCCCTGGCCGCTCTTTCTAGGCACCGCGCGTTTTTCTCAGGGAAGTAACTTTTGCATTCCCGCCTCCCCCCGGTCCTGGGGACCAGAGGCGGTGCCGAGCCTGGGGGCGGTTCCCTGGCGGCGCTGCTTCTTGTCAGAGCCAGACTTTTGCTCCTGGGCTTGGTTTGCATCATCCCCATCACAGCCTCGGGCGACAGCAGCCAGCCCCCTTCCCAGCCTCAGCTTCCGGCTCCAAGCCCACCCCTCCCCCGGCCAGGCCCCTTCCCCTTCCCTTTCCCGGGCCCCGGCTCCGCCGCAGGATTTCCCCGGGCTCCCCGGGCTCCGCCGCGTTTCCCGGCTGTCGCCCCCTGCTCGGCGTGGTGTTTGATGTCCCCGCTCTGAGGAAGCATGGTTGATTTGGAGAGCGAGGTGCCCCCCCTGCCTCCCAGGTACAGGTTTCGGGATCTGCTGCTCGGGGACCAGGGATGGCAGAACGACGACAGGTGAGTCGGATGGTGCGTCGTTGTTCCCTAAATCCTGCGGGAAAGAGAGGGGGCTGTGTGGGGGCTGCTGGACAGGGAAAAGGAGGGAGAGGAGGAAAAGGGAGCCTGAAAGAGAGACGGGGGCGCGGGGGAGGGAGGCGGGGGGCTCCGAGGCGGCTCTCCATTTTGCCTCTCCTGAGCACTTGCTGGAGACAAGGAACTCTTTTCCTTCTCACTTTCTTATTCTTGCAGTTTATTCATTGCATTTATTCGGTGCTTATTCTTTGTCTGTCTGTGCTCTCCTGGGGTGTGTAAAAGGCTGGGGCCAGAGATGCGGTGCTTCTAGCTGGCACGCATTATCCGAGCCAAATCATTGTCATGTTTTTCCTTAGGTGTGGGAAACTCGCAAATGTATCCAAGTTGATTGGAAAAGCACGTTAGAAACTTGAAATCTCCTGTACCCATTTCTGTAGCCCTTGCCAGTGTTGTCTTGATTAGTACTTACTTGTCACTAGGCATTTTATGCTGTTTAACAGATGCAGTTTCAGGTGGACGTGTGGTTTAAACATGTAACAGGTAGTTGGTGAAAATAACCATTGCACTAGAATGTGCCCAGGTAGCTGTGACTCTCATCAACACAGGTGTCTGCGAAGCTGTCTTGCAACCTTTTCTTAATGAGTGTATTTTTCGCCTAAACAGCATATATATTTCAAAATTAAAGTTGCAAACCTAGAGTATTTGTTATTAGCAAAATATTGGTTATGGGTTTTATTTACAGCCCACTGCTTTGCATAGTTCGACTTCTGAAATTCTTCCTCAGCTCTCTCTGTCTCCTTGTTTAAAATGCACATTTTGTGTCTCATTGACTATAGTATTTTCTGAAATAGTCATTTCCTGTATCACATGCCACCTCTCCTTGTTTTAAAATAATGTATGGATACTAACTAGATTCTCAACTCAGTTGAAATTTTTCTTAAATTTCAGTTTGGTATTGATGTCCTATCTAATTCCATAAAAGATCCATTATTGGTCCAATCCAATATCCCCTCCCTATTCACCACTGGGCAATAAGCCCTTCTTTCCCTCACTTTCTTAGCTCTCAAGACTAACTGTTATTCCTACATACGGGGGATTTTATCTTGGGTACCAATTATGGATTCCTATGATCTCGTATTAGTAATTTAAAGGGATATGTTTTGTAGAGGATGGTATTTTAATGAACTCTTTTTTAAAAGCAAAAGCACATATACTGATTAAACAGTTAGAGCGCAAAGGCCAGTTAACCAGTTTGCTTGTAAAGTAAAGGTGTTCTGGTTAACAACAAGATAAAAGCATAAACAAATGAGCAATGATTGAAGATGTATTAGCCTAGTTAAATGGCTTGTCAAGTGCAGCACAGTGTCCACAGTGACTGAATCTATTTCAGGACCTCAGGGTCATCACGTAGAGGAGAAATCCTCATGACAGAAAGCGTGAGATGAGTTGAACACGTAGAGGATGTACTTTGGCCATAGTGATGGTAGTGTTGTTTATCTTTTAAAAAAGAGATCATATCCAGTGTGTTCATTGTTCATGGGATTGCCCTCATCTTTTTCTAAGGATGCTACAGAAAAATTTCAGAAATTAGGAACTTTGCTCAGTTGAATATTCTCTAAATGAGTCACTGCTGTAGGAAAAAAAGTTTTGCAGTCATTTAACATTTCTATGTATTAAAGTGAAAGATTTTTTTTTTTTTTACAGCTCATGTTTAACTTTAAAATAAAGGCACATTTACTATTTTCTAAGTGGCTTTGGAAAAGCCATTCAACTATGATGCTATTTAACAATCATATTTTTTAGAGTGGGAATGGAACTGTCTACCTCATCAACTTGTGACAGGAGGGAGGATGGAGAGGTACAGCAGAGCACTGCCAGCTGCTTGACCTCAGCTCTGTCACCTCTTCCAGCCTCCACGCAGTCCCCGAATAGTAGGTAGTTGTTTTCGACTAGAAAACTGAGAGTCTAAGAAATTAGATACCAGTCCTGGGTAATAATCTTATCAGTGTACAGAGGACTCTGGAGCTTACTCTGTGACTAAAATCCCTCCAGAAACTCTTAAGTTCAAATTTATAAGGATAGTTTTACAGAACCTTACATAGTTTTTACACTCTTTAAATGTATTTCCCCTCTTCACTTCTGATTTGCAATATGCAGTTTGTTTTCCCCACCTCTTTCCAGAATCCTAAAGTAATATGTAGTAAGTGAGTCATCCCTTTAACATGGTCACAAATTCCTCTTTGCAATTAAGTGTGAATAGCAGTCCTACTCTACTCGCTTACCTTCTTGGATTCAATTTCTAAAAAGTTGAGAGGAAAGATTTTTTTCCTGTAGAAATAAGAGGGTCCTTTGTCCCAGTAGCCATACTTAGTATTTCACTTACGTTCTCTGGGAACACCTTCCACATCAACCTCAGGAGCACAGGGGGTCTGCTGGCTGGCAAGTTAGGATACCACTGGGCAACCAGGGTGTGGCTGAGTAAATCCCTTAATTTCCTTGCTCCCCATTTGGGATAATTCTGAAGCACGTCCTACATCACGTCCAAGGGATCCACAGTTGTCCACAGTGTAGCTGGCTTAATGCTGCAAGCTTTATTGGCTTCCCACCCCTCTCTCCTCTGTTATTTCCTGTAATCAGTTCCCCCTAAACTACTGATATTCCAGTCCTATCTCAAGGTTGGCTCCTAGGGGCAATGGAATCGAGATGACCGTCTTCTGGATATAGAGAGTCGCATCCTGGAAATAATGAGGGGGTGGTCTTCAACTCAGGAAGGTAGATACTTCCCAGCTGTTCCTCACTGGCTGAGTTTTAAACTAAAACTTGGTTGACTGGCCATGTGGCAGTGAGGAAGGCATGTGATGGATGTGTAAAGGGGTGTTAAAGAGAGGATATGATGGGCCTAGACTATAGGAAGTGTGTATTCCATACTGTCGATTCGTCAGCTAACCTTGGATAGATACGACACCTAAAGTGGTATCACGCCACCTTCTGGGAAGTTCCCCCTTCCACATACGTGCTTATACACCTCCCCCCCCCACATACACACAGAAGCACATACACGATATACATCTATATGTATATTATAGTATATATAATAGATCTGTGTTGTATGGGGGGGTTCAAAAAGTTCATGGAACACACGTATCATGAAACATTTTTTGTACTAAAACTTGTATTTTAATTCCATTTTCCTATGAACATTTTGAAGCCTCATGTATGTTATATAAATGCATATGTAATGTATATAATAGAAATATGTGTGTGCATTTGTTATCTCAGTGCCATCCTTACATAATTACCTCTCCCTCTTTTGCATTCTGGTCTCCTATTCTGAGGAGGACATAAGGGAAGGGAGTGAGACAGACCAGCGCAGAGAATTTAGCATGTGGCCAACGTTAGTTCTGTGAGGCTATGAAATAAGTTTGACAGTGGCTAAATTAGAACATGGCTTATGCCTTGGGAGTGTCTGTTGTATATATGATGCACATTGATTTTTTTGGCATCCTGAGTAAAAAGTGAATTTAGTTCAGATGGTCTTTTAATATGTCTATAATGGCCATTTATCCATTCAGCTAACACTTGAGTGCTTGCTAAATCTGAGGGCCTCATTAAGTTAGCTTTGAGAAGAATATAGAGGAATATGAAACTGCACTTGGTCTGAAGGTGCTCACAGATGTAAGTAGAGGTGAATTTCCTCCCAGAATATTGACTGTACTGCTCATGTTATGATGATGTCCCTGCAGGATTTCCATTTTAAGATTATCTAGAAGATCCAACACCATTAGAAGATCTAGCACCATTTGTAAATAAAGTATTCGGTATTTGATTAAAAATAAAGTAGCTTGAGTCTGTATTAGCAATGGCTCAAGATATGCAATGTATTTGGCATCTGATATTTAGAATATTTAGTGCCTTCATAGTTATTCTATGAAACAAATATGACCAGAGATTGACTCTAACTAGGTTTAATATAGAAATCATTCTGTGATACGTAGAATCATTGAAGTGTTAAAATCCATTGTTTTCTATGATAATATTCTATCATTTATAAGCAATAAAGATTTATAATATTCTGCAGCTAAAGACTGGTAAATTTCAGGTTTTCCTTTCTTAGATCTTTGCCATAGAGCATATGCATTTGCCAGAGAAAGAGAGAGAAATTACCTCCCCTTCCCCAGGGTGATGGCTGTGCAGCAATCCCTTTTCCTCCATTCTCCTCCTGAGATCTTAGGCACATGTACTTGAGTGATTTTCAAGCCACCAGGTCTGGGACACCAACCATGGTCAGCTATTTTGGTGCCCACCATGCTAATCACTATGCCATCTGCTTGCCCAAGATTCAGGTTGTAAATGCCTCTAGACATTGAGAACAAACCTTTCTTCTTGTTAATCATAACTTAATAACTTTAAGGTTTGAACTACAGTGCCCTTGATGTGAATAAATTTTCACAGTTCCAATTACTGTTAATGGACAACTCTTGGTTGTAGTCATGGAGGAATAGGTCATGTATTTGATTAAGACAATTCTAGTTTCCAAAAACCGGGGCCATTATTTCAGCCCCAGTAATTTTAAGTATGTATTTTATATTTTATAGGTGACATAAAAGGTGTATTGATTAAAACCTTAAAAGTATATGAACAAAGTACAAATCAATCAATTAACAATTTAAAAGTTACTTATAAAATAGGGAAAATTTTTGAATAGCTTTTGGTATGTGTAATTTTAGAAATCATATACTAAAATATATATTTATATAATCAGATTAAATTGTGGGAATGAGTTTTGGATTGGCAAATGAAGTATTTAATAAGTTACATTTTTATCCCCTCGAATAAATGATATGTTATTTTGAAAATCAGCCTTTTGTTATAAAGTGTTTATTTGGGACTAGCAGATGGCATAATAGTTATGTCACTGGACTCCCAAGCAGTTGACTGTGGTTTGAGTCCCAGACCTGGTGGCTTAAAACTCACGCCAGGTGTTT